GGTGGCCGCCCACCTGCTGCTGCGCCTGGGCCACGACGCCCGCCTGCCCCTCGACCCCGGCGCCCTGGGGGACGCCCTGCTGCGCCGCCTGGCACCCCTCCAGGTCAGACCAGTATGCCCCAGTATAAACCAGTACGGCACTGAGAGGGTAGCAGGGGGCACTGGGAGGCACTGGGGCTGCCCCTGGGCCCTGGTGCCCTGGGGATGCTCTGCTGCGCTGCCTGGTGCCCTTCCAGGTCAGCCCAGTATGCCCCAGTATAAACCAGTATGGCACTGGGAGGGTAGCAGGGGGCACTGGGAGGCACTGGGAGGCACTGGGAGGGTAGCAGGAGACACTGGGAGGCACTGGGGCTGCCCCTGGACCCCAGCGCCGAGGGACGCCCTGCTGCACCACCTGGCGCCCCTCCAGGTCAGCCCAGTATGCCCCAGTATAAACCAGTATGGCACTGGGATGTCCCCAATGTCCCCCCCCAGGCGCAGGGTCTGTCCCTGCAGCGCCTGTCCTCGGCCCGCGGTGACGTCGTGCGGGCGGCCGAGACGCTGCGCCGGGAGATGGCCGGCTCGGAGGGGACCAACGAGCGCCTCAACCGCGGCTTCAACGCCCGCATCATGGCCGTGAGTGTCACCGTCACCTCCCGTTGTCACCTGGTCCCCATCCCTGTCCCCTCAACACCCGCATCGTGACCGTGTCACCGTCACCTCTTGTTGTCACCCAGTCCCCGTCCCTGTCCCCTCAACACCCGTATCGTGACTGTGTCACCGTCACCTCTTGTTGTCACCCAGTCCCCGTCCCTGTCCCCTCAACACCCACATCGTGGCCGTGAGTGTCACCGTTGCCATCACCTCTCATTGTCACCCTGTCCCCATCCCATTGACCGTGTCCCCATCACTGTCCTGTCCACACTGATGGTGTCCTTGTCCCCATCCCTGTCCCCATCCCATTGACGGTGGCCCCGGCCCCGTCCCCATTGACCACGTCCCCATCCCTGTCCACGTCCCATTGACCACGTCCCTGTCCCTGTCCCCAGGCGGAGGCCTCGCTCCTGTCCCCCTTCGTGTCCCCCCTGGTCACCCCCTTCCGCCACGTGCTGCTGGGCCAAGGGGGCCACACGCTGCCGGCGCTGGCGGCCCAGCTGGGCGGGGGACACGGCCGGGGGACGCGAGGGGACGCCGGCCACCTCCGCCTCCGCCTGGCCCTGCTGTCCTGGACCCTGCAGGGGACAGCGGGGGCCCTGGCCGGGGACACCTGGGACCGCGGGGACATCGGGGACCGGGGCGACATCTGGGACCATGGTGGCCTTGGGGACATTGGAGACCATGGGGACAATGGGGACAGCTGGGACCATGGTGGCCCTGGGGACCTTGGAGACCGTGGTGGCCCTGGGGACAATGGGGATAGCTGGGACCGTGGGGACACCTGGGACTACGAGGACAATGGGGAGACCTGGGACCGTGGTGGCCTTGGGGACATGTGGGACCATGGGGACAGCTGGGACCGTGGTGGCCCTGGGGACAACGGGGACGATGGGGACCTTGGTGGCCCTGGGGACCATGGGGACATCCAGGATCATGGTGGCCCTTGGTGACACCTGGGACCGTGGTGGCCCTGGGGACACCTGGGACCCCGGGGACATTGGGGACCCCCTGACCTGGGGGAGGGGACACCTGGGCCCCCCCAGCCCCGCCCCCTCATTTGAATATGGTGGGGAGGAGCCGCGGTCGCCGCTTTTTATTGGCTCCGACTTCGGGCCATAAATTAACAGAATCGGTTAAAAAAAGAAGTAATAAAAGCACCTGGGGGGCCCCGCCCACCCGGGCCACGCCTGCTTAGACTCCACCCATCTGGACCACACCCACATCTGGTCACACCCATGGGCGTGGCCTCCCTGGCCCCACCCTCTTTGGCTCAACAGGAGGGGCAGGGCCAAAGACCTGTGACGTCATCATGGCCCTATGACATCATCGGGGAGGTGCAGCCCTGTGATGATGAGGTCATGGCGGTTCCCAGGCAGTGCTGAGGTCACGAGCGGTGACACCACGGGAGCGCCGGGGCGTGACATCACACACCGGGCCCCGCCCACAGCCTTGCTCCCTTGTGACATCACCAACCTGGCATCCGTGGGCAGCGAGCGATGATGTTATCAGTGCTGGTGACGCAGCTGTGACATCACGGGGCAAAGCCATCCTTTGGTATAACACGGCGAGGCAGCCATCTTGGCACGACGGCCATACTGGGTTGGCCATCTTGGCATGGCAGCCATCTTGCGGCAGCCATCTTGGTGACTCAACCAGGGCTGAGCCCCTTAGAAAAGGTCCATGGCGTCCCGGTGGCCATCTTGTCAGGGGCGGGGCCACAGCAGGGGCGGGGCTCAGAAGTGGGGGTCCCCCTTGGGGGGGCTCTGCAGGCTCTGGGCGCTGTCGAGGATCCCCTGCTGGGGCCCGGCCAGCGTCACCCCCATGCGCAGCAGGTCCCTGCGGGCGACACGGGGGTCACCGCTGCGCCCCGATGGCCCCCCCATGGCTCCCCCGGCCCCCCG